TTATTAATGAACGAGTTGTGGAAGTTGCGACCGTTAGATGCATATTATTATTATTTTTGTTGTTGTTGTTAGTCCTAACTGTCTCAATGAAAAACATAAAATATTTTCACAACATTAAATTAACGAATGGTCTCGGAAATAATAGCATAACAAATAATAATAACGAAACAAAAATATATAAAATGAATACGTTCGCCCAATATCTTGGTTTTCATTGTTCTCCGAAGTCTCTCCACGTTTTCGTTCTTCGTCACTCAGCACTGATAATAATCCGTTATGAGTACAACGGTCGGTCTCATAGTCATTTGGGCAAATACCAATAATGTCATCCCTTGTTTGACGTATTCGAAATCGATTCACCTAAGAGTTAAGACACATTGTCTCTACCGAAGTAACAATAACGACTGCGTTCCCACATGATTTCAACCTCAAAGTGGTTTTCTCCCGACAATATTACTTAACAGAAAATAATGACTATGCAGTAGTTCAAGGTGTGAATTTCATTAAATATTTTATAAACTATAACAATATTAAAATCATTGAAATATTATAAAATTCAATATTGTAAAAATAAAATTAATGTCACTTTCTATACTTAGATACATGTTTTATAATCGCTCTATCTTAACTAATGGACTCGCGACTGAGAACTTTTATTCTAGTTATATTACAGTAGGTAGTCAAAATGCCAGTTGCCAATAAATGGACAATAATGGCCAGTTATAATATAATATACAATATTGAAAACTACCGTTACCACTTTAAACTTTTATGACCCACAAATAATCTCAACTATTACCCATTTTGACTAAAATAGATCTATGAAATATTTGTAGACACTTAAATTGGTTTTAATTTGTTGAGGCGGTTATCTTTTAAAATATTTATTATTATTAACTGTGTATAGAAATAATAGAAAACAAGTTTCAAAAGTTGTATTATATTTATCAATATTTAGACTGATCCAGTAATGTAAAATAATATCCTCGTTTTAATAATTTAGGTATAACCGTTGATAATACATCGCATTTGAACTTTGCCCTATACGATATTGCAATATTATACAATATTTTGTACAACATGATTCAATATAAAGTAATATCACTATAGCTTCGGTTAACAACACACTGTTGTGTGAAACATTTAGTGTGAATGTTATGTATTATTTTCATACATTTGAGAGCAATCATTTTATTATAATAAAGTTCCTAAGAATTCTTTTTTTAATTTTAAGACATCAAACAAACTAAAAATTGTGATTAAATATTAATTTATTTTTAAAAGTATCCATTGGATACTGCAGTAGTTAAGTTCAAAGATTGAATCAATTTAATCTAAAACATTTTTCTGTTTTTTAATCAAATACGTTTTCCTCGAACAGTTAACTGCAGTTTAGTGACATCAAAATCGTAATTCTCGTTATAATTCAATAATTGTCTAAGTTATTATATTATGTTTGATCAACCAAAACATATTATCTGTGTGGCTATAAAATCGTAATCGATTTTAAGTGAGCTACTAGCTCAATAATGCTACATCGATGATATTTTTTATCTCTGCGATAGGTACACTGTAGTTAGACATTGGCCAGCAATATGAGTATACACACACCTGTGATCACTATACTGTGACCTATAAGTAAAAATATAATAATATAATAATACGTAACACTCACATTTTAAAGTACTCAAATTATGTGGATTAAAACTTAATGATACCAATGTTAAAGAACAGAGAAATCTTATATTATAACAATGTACTATCAAATAGTAAAAATTAAAACATAAAAACTCTTTCTAACACATTTAAGTAACAATATTACTGATAACCATAGAGTGAACTAATTTATCACATTCACACTTAAAGTAATAAGTAGTTTCTATTATGCCAAACGAATTGTGTTCAACGTAAATATTACAGTTAAATGTGCAATTTTTAACTTAAGTAATTAAGACTTTATATTTTAATTCAAAATTAAGTACATTATACCATGTTTATAACTACATAATATATAACTTATTCACGAAAACCACGTAGGAATTTATTGTATATATTTTTTTTTAGCTTCCAACGTAAACTATGATAGCTCAATACAATTATATAAGGATATAAGATATAGATAAGATAATTGAATATACATTTTTAAATATTAATCATGAAAAATAATAATTAAGATAGTATAATAAAGTAGTTTTAAGAATACACGTGGATCGAAGATCGACCGGTATTACATAAACATAATATTATTGCATTCCTACAGATTTTCATCAAAATTTCTATCAATTTTTATACATGAATATTTGTTGATTTCAAGTTTACTATGTTCCTAAAGTCTTGTGCCTGGATGAGTGTAATTTCTAATTTTTAAATATTACTTTTTCCTTACTATAATCATATTTATATTCTAAATTCTATGTAAAATAACGATACTTTTGATGTACCTAATTCATATTTTAATGATTTAAAAAATATTGATCCCCAACCAGTTGTAACCTACATAGTAACTTAAAGTGATGAGGTTTCCAAACGTTTGGTTAACATATTCTGAGTTTATGAATTTTAAAATAAATATTTCATTTTTTAAATTAAAATATGATTTTAAAATACATTCACTCTTTCCTGTATTAAATAAATGCGAAGATGTAATACATAAATGTATTATATTATATATTGTACAATGATATGTAACATATTCTGACATTCTGTACTCGAGAAAGAAAATACGTTTAAAGGTAATACCTTGTTATTTTTACTCAAATCGATGATACTCTATATTAAAGGCACAATAGATACTAAATTATTATGATTAAATTTATAAGTAAGCTATAGAAATGAATAAAAAAAAAACCAAAAAAAGGTACATTTTTATGTAAACAATTTATCTCCAGACTACGGGTCAGAAATATAAGGTGATTATTTTATCGTGAAAGCGGTAATATCTTGGAAAATAAAACGAATACAATTTCTTTTAAGAAAAAATGCTGATGATCATTGATCATAGACAAATACAAAACAGAATTTTTTTAACGTTTGAAAAATACATAAATATTTCAATTTCTTGTAATTCTTTAGATACTTAATAACTCTATCAAGCTAAAATAATTAACATACTTGTATGAATAAATTTATAACAAAAAGTTCATATAATACATAATATTAAATATAACGTGTATAATTGTAAATATAGAATAAGATAATTGTTATTTACATAAAGAAGGTGATCGTAAATTTCAGTAGTTTCGATTCATGTTTAAATATTTTCAAAAATTAATTATAATCAAGCTGTTAAGTACTCATGATTCATATCCACAATATTTGAAAATTGATAGCACTGAGTCATTATTAAATGTATGAATACCAATACTTTAAGCTTAAATAAGGATTCAAATGAGTTTGTAGGTTGGATTTCAGACTCGAAAGACATAATATTGAATTTGAATATACATAGGCACACTGCATTTTTTGTAAATGTTGCATCTTTACAAGAACTGTATATATGAGCAAAGAAAATGTGTGTAATAAACTTTAAAAGGCTTGTTATATAAACTAAGGTTGTTTTCATTATGGCTTTAGAATGAAAATATACATCTTCATTTACTATTGTTATTAACAAAATGGTTCAAAATGGAAGACATTGAACTACTAAACATTAAAACGTCATTAAAATCATTACCTTTCTGGAAAATAAATATGATTGGATTTATTTTATTTTGTATAACAATGTGCGTATACAACATAAATTATTTTAAGATTAGCCGTTAAGATAGCACTGACTTGTCATTGAGATCAAGGAAGAAATAATAAATTATCGAAGAATAAATAACCTTTAACATTGTGACATCCAAATGTTTGTACAGACTCATAAAGAATCATTAACATTTAATTTTGGCATGGATTGATACACAGTTTATCTCACAACACAAATATAAACAATATTAAACTAATTTTTAAAAAATTAAAAATTAAACTTTTTAAAACGTAATAAAAGTTTTTATGTGTAAAAATAATCATTGAATGAATGGTTTTTTGTGTTCATCTAACGTGGAGAAAATATAATACACATTATGCCTGCATTTAACCACCCATCATTTTGATAAAAATAATACATTTGTTTATTGGAAGAAGGTTATTTTCAGAAGCTATCTATGTTTCACCATCATTAATTTTCTCTTTAAGTATAATATACTTTCGCGTTTTATAGATGGTATAATACCACACATGAGTCCTATTTGTAATATCAAAAATGTATCAACGATACATTTATATAAAAAAAAGTTACTTCTTAATATTAGGTAACTTATGAACTCTACCGTTAAAAACAAAAAATACTACGATTTAATTAAGTCATATAAATAAAATAATATTCAAAAATCAATTAAAGACATCATATTATTTTAATTGATAACATTTAGAACTTTTTCATGTGCTAAGATAAATTGGCTAATAGCTTACCCCTCAATAACGTTGTTTAGTTTAAAATAAAATGGTGAATAAGTATGTCAATAAGTTCCATCAAAATACGTTATTTAAATTATAAGTAAAATATCTTTTTTGCCAATGATTGCTAGACAGTCTAGTGACTAGACTCTCGTCTTAAAAACAATTTAGTAAGTGTTAAAATTTATTAGATACATTTATCCTTTTATAAATTATGATTGATAAAGATCGGATTTTTGGTATTATTATTCATTGATCTTAATGATTTAGTCTCATTTAGATTAGTTTTTCACGATAATACATTTTAAAATATCATTCAAATTTCGTCAAATAAAATCTACCATAACTGATGATATTAAAATATTGAAACGTATAATTTGTACATAAAATTGTTCAAAAATGTATAGTTGGTAAATGTGTTCTTATCATCACAAATATTTTAAGTTATTTGAAAAAATAAACAACTTTTAATACAAATAATTTTTGTTAAAGCTACTTTTTTAGCAGATACTTCGTGTACCTAACCAATATTCCTGATTATTTATTTAATTTTTTTTTTTTAGTTCCACCGAGGATCATTGGTATAACATCAAATGGAAAAGTGAGTGCAAAAAAAGGGTCAGATGTGACTCTTCAATGCAATTCGACAGGAAATCCACCACCAACAATCACATGGTCTCGTAAAGTAAGTTTTTTCATATTTTTTTTATAAAAAGTAATTTATTAAAAAAATGTATGATTATATTGTAAGTTTTGATTGATTTATGGACGAACTATAATTTATCAATCATTACATCATTAATTTAATTTTCTATATGTATTTGGTACTACTAAAATGTATAACTAATAAAAGCTTAATAGAGTGTATTTACAATTGAAAATATGTCGTAGGTGGAGTATTTATCAATTTTAATATTAAAAGATTTTAAACATAATAACCGTAAAATCGAAAAATAACTTTTTACTCTTAATAAAAATACTTGCATGTTAACAGAAGTGATATATTTTCAAAGTTGAGTGAAAAATTCAATTACCTACAATAAGTTTTCCACGGTTGAGTAGAAAACAGAATAGTCTTCAAATGTATCATACATAATTTGTCATAAAAAAGTAATATAAATTAAATATGAATTTTCACCAGTGGCGTAGTTTTTAATGTTACAATTTAATTTTGCACATACTAATATTCTATAAATTAAATAAAATTACTAATTAATATAAGAGTCATATAGAGTCAGTCTGCTGTAGAGCGTTCAATACTCTAGGTTTTGTTATTCGAACGTGGAAGAACGGTTGTTGTTCCCTGGTACGATCCTTATAAGAGTATGCGTCCGTTCTTTGGGATCAGTACACGACAACTGACTTCTCACATATAGAGCAAGTCCAAAGGCGTTTCTTATCATCTGCCGCCGAATATTTTAGGAATAGAGCATTTTAAGTATGATTTACTTCCAGTCGAATTATAAGCTTGAGTAAGCTAATTAATGTTTAAATTGTTACTCCCTCCTTACTCTCCCAAGTTAACTTTAGAGTTCCACCTCATTTGTCTAGGTCACGTTATCCTTTTGTAATTCATTTCCATCATACTAGCTATGGTAAGAACAATCCAATTGATCGAATGATGGGTTTAGCCAATGAGCACCCTACCTTATTTAGTCTATAATATTATATTTAATATGTGTTTTGTTAATTATTAATTACTTCATTTCGTCAAAATGTTGTATTATTTAAGTTATATTAACTGATATTTGAATTAACTTCTGTTGCAATATATTGGATTATTTAAAAATATGTAAAATGTAATTTCATTTTTGGGTCTTGTGGTCGTTATATAATAATAAATAAATAGGTATGTAAATAAATAAATAAGAACAACTATCTTAATATTTGGTGCTCTAATGAATCTGCATCGCACAATTTCAATATATTGTATGTATGTATTTAAAAAAGATTCCGTATTTACAATGTAATTTTAAGAGCTTAAATAAAATATGAGGATAAAAATGTCAATATTATTATTTCATCATCATAAAAGAGAATAGTCTTATTAAATAGATATGTTCATGTATATATTTTTATTGGCACTGATAACGCATTTAAAAGAATGTATCATACTTTCGGATTCGATAAGAAATAAAAAATAAGTTCTTAGATAACGTCAATTCTTTAAAATAGACAATAGCTTACAAAGAAAAATGAGCATGAAATGATCTGCAATGAAAATAATAAAGTATTACAATAAGTCATATAACTACGTGATAATAACAATAAGAAATAGAGAAAAGAATTCAAGTCGAGATAAAACAAATCCAGAGCTAGATATAGAATTATTACAAGACGCATTAATAATTGGGTCAGGATAGTGTTAATGAGGTGTTCCGAGATAAATGGAATTTATAGTAATAATGCCGTAGGTGGTAATAACAATGAAAATGCAACTACGACCCAAAGGCAAAATGGCTGTTATGTTTGATGACAATAGGAAATATTGAAGTATTAACAGAACACAACTTCAACTCAACTCAATTCCATTTGATGGCACCATCAAAATTTAAATTTTGACGATACTCCTAACAGCCACATAAGCCATTAAAATACGAATAACGTTTAGTAATCACACGTTTTAATACTACCTTTTAACATGTTAATATAATTATGTATTGAAATGCTAGTAGAAATCAACATGACTGGATAATATTCAACTGAATGTTTCATTTTTGAATAAATGTAATATAAAATAGTTTCATATATCAGCTAAGTGATAACCATTTCAAATCTAGACGATATAAAGCCTATAATAAAAACTAAAATGTTCATATTCTAATTATTGATTTAATATCTAGTATCCTTTAAAAACCAGTAGCTTTTTGTCATTAAAAAAAAAATACTATTCGTATTGTTTGACTTTTTCATAACATTTACCTAGGTTTATCAATTTATAATTAATTCTCATATTTTTGTTTAAAACCCGAAATTAAGGGTGTCCATTTAAAAGCTAAATCAAGTAACGTATGAAACCACAAAATTATGGTGAAAAAAAAATACTGACTACAATAACATTTTGAATGTATAAACTGACATAGAAACATTTACCTGGTGTAGTTTGTTTAGCCATTTAAATGGAACACTCTGAACTTAAGCACAGATATATAATTATAGCATAATATATAAATAATTAGAACTTATTGAAACGAATAATTGAATTGATAATTGATTGAGGTCATTACAATCCACGTACATCAGGGATGGTTGGCCGTTTTGCCAATCGGAAATTGGTAAAATCCCAATGGCTAACCACTAGTCGGTGAAATTTAACTTCAGATAATTTATATTATTACGTGCCTATTATAAAATATAGAATGTCTCATTGTGTTTGTCCTCATACATGCCTCCCTCCTATAATGTGCTATACATTAGCCATTGTATCCGTCTCTTAATAAAACTTTGAAATGTACATAACTATTTGAATACTTAATGGTAATAAGTATTTTAACTTTTAAAATATTTACATAAATTAACACTAAAAATTAGGTATACTACAAATTTTTAAGAAAAACGAGAGAAAATATTTTTCTGTTTTTAGCTTTTGTAAAAAAGTTAGATAATTACGATTAAAATAAATAGGAAATAACTTAAGACTTAAATTTATAACAAGATGGTCTGAAATAACCAACAAATTCAAAAAATTTGTCAAGTTTTGTCATACGCAGTCGTACCTATATGATAACGTACACATTAGGATCATTGAAACTCTTTTTATTATTTTAGATTTTTAGCAGAGCAATGAATGTACTGGTTTTACAATAATATGTGTATGTATGTTTTTATCCATAAGGTAGAAAATTGGATCTGGTTAGTGCTTTGTACTTGTATAGAAAGTAGAGAATTCCTAGTAGATACTTTTAAAATTAATCTAAAAAAAAGAGAAAATATTTAACCAATATTATTTTTTTACACAATCGATTTTTTTTTGTAATTAAAAAAGTAATAACTGTGAACACTTGACATTTTTACAAAATATCCATATTAGCTTTTCTAGACAAAACATAATTAAAAAAATACTTTGGCTCTTTTTGTGATATCAATTTACATTTTAAATGTTATACTTTTTTAATTTTTACCATTTTGTTTTATTTTTTTGAAGTTAAAATGTTTATAGAATGTGTCAAAATCACGAAAATATACAAATTATTTCGTGATAAAAATATATTAATTTGTTTATTTTAATAAGTAGCTAATATATCTTAATATATAAGGTTCTTTATAAATTATAAGTTTTTCTTACATGAATTCAAAATCATAGAAAATACAAATACACTTTGACTTTTTATAGGTAATGGAGTTCAGATATTGACAATGTAGGACGATTACACAAGTAATAACGATTTTAGTTGCTGTAATATAATTCAAAAATAATATGCACCTTATAATTCAGAAAGAATGAATAATTTTATGGGCTTGTCATAATCACCAAATATTTATATTGACATCTTATAAACATGATGTAGTTATCACAACATATTTTTGGCTAATTTTGATCTATTTCTAGACATTTGGAATTTTTAATAACATTTTATTTTATTTAAGCTGTTAAGCTTTTTTTACCACATCACTTTTACACCTTTCAAGGTTCAAGGGTACGTTGACAATTCATTTTTACTGTCAAAAAATATTTTTACACATCAAATTAATAAAGCACTATAAAGTTTATAATTTATATTTTCTACAGAATATGTACCTATATTATCTTTTAAATAGAACCTGATTTGTATCAATCTTCTTTACTCAGAATAATATTTTCCTCCAATGGCACTCATCGTTGAATTCAAATTAAACACATCAATATATTTACTGTAACCTACTCAATGGCAAAATAGGATACTGTCTACTCAAAATTTACAATGCAGGAGAAACGAGTTTCTCGGTTTTTGTATGATAAAATATAAAAATAACTACAATGATAATCGATGGTACGCTTAATAAAAGATAACAATTAAATTTTGTAATATTATTAAATCAAAATCAAATGCATTACATTGTTCAAAAACCAAATATTTTATGTTTCCGGCCGAAGTTTCTACCAATGCCAATTTTCAACTGTCCGGGTGAAAACATTAAATTGAATAGTTTAAAACAATGCTTATAGTTGTAGCGTACAATATATTAACGCGTCTCCAGAGAATGAAGATATATGTAGGTTTGATGTAGTTGTAATGTCAGAATAACGTTGAGTTAATGAAACGCAAAAAACCGCACCATGATATAATTTTGTTTTTTTTTTTAATCACAAGCTGTCAAGTCTTTTAAAATATTTTCGGGTGTCATGAAATATAGTTTAGCTGAGCAAAACTCAAATGGGTCACAAAAAAAAAAATGTTTATATTTAATATCGTCATTACTATATTATTGTATATAATTTATTTTTAACGTTTTTGTGATATTTTAAATTGTGACAATTACATACCGCCAAAGGTATGGACTCTGTATATAGGTATCCTATACAAAACAATTTCCGACAAAGAGATTACAGTTAATTAACTTCGGTTTACTGTTGGGAGTAGGGGGAGGGAACCTTTGTTATCCACTTCAAATGTGAAATTAAATGTAAAGCCATACTATTGATTGTAACTATAAATAAACCAAATTCTAACGTTAAACAATATTTTAAAATTATACCCTAGATTA